AAGTTGGGCAAGTCAGCTTACCCTTCTCCTTAACCCAATCTTCCAGGCATGCCAAACAGAAACTATGGAGGCAGTTGAGGGATTTTGGATTTTGAAGTCTCTTAAAGCAGATGGTACACTCTAAGACCTTCTCATCAACATGTTCCAGAAACTGATTAAACTTACTGGTAGCCATCTTGAATTGATATCCTGTGAAATTTAAATAATAGGTAATATAATTATTATCATTTGAACTGGATAAATAGTCTGATGACCCTATAGAAAATAATGGCTTCTATCTCCTATTTCGTATAGGGTCTGAAATAACTTGACAATAATTGCTTTATTAAGTCAGTTATATATAAATGTATGCTACTGTATATATAATCAAACCACTGGTCATGGCCCCCTCTAAGTCCGCCCCTCAACAGGACATTTTCCCACAGTCCGTACCACCTGGCCATTGGCTTTCTTGCCTTCATAGTATGTAGCCAAGCATGAAACTTGAAATAAATGGCATGATGGTACATTGTTTAGTGTTGCTGCTAACAAATTTTTTTCCTAAAAAGTTACCTTTGATGATTTATATTTAGTTTAAAAGTTGTTACTGCTCTCTATATATAAGATTTTTTTTAGGGGTATTCACGGGGGTTGCTCCAAGATTTGCCTTAAAGGATGTCTGAGGTCCCCAAAGCATAAAGTGGACATGGCCCTTAGATTCTTTTTCCCAACAAGCTGTAAGATTTTGCTGTCAAGAGCAAAATAGGGGTGGTTGAGTGTTTCTTAAAATGTTCCGAAAGAGGTCCAGGGGGTGAAGCCCCCAAAAAATTTGACAATTTATTGGTTTCAATTTTAGAGTCTACTAATATGTGCAAAGTACATATTAATTTTTTTTCTTTCTGGCAAATTGTGTTTTTCTTCTTGAAGGGAGCCCTGGCCGCTTTATCTTTTTTCTCCATACAGTTCAGGTAGAAATTATATAGGGCACATTTAGGTGAACTAATAACATGAATAATGCATGTATGCTTGACACTAATCGCCAGTCGCGAAAGTGGTGTGGTGTTTACTGCTTGTGGAATATGAAAGCTATGGTGTAGTTAGGGCATGGAGGACTTAGTTTAAAAACTAAACTAATCCATTCATGGTTAGGGTAGGCCAAAATCCCTTGGTAGTCGGTCAAGAGGAAAGTGTATACAGTTGATACAGAGTGAACTACCGTAATTGACTATTACTGTAATTACAAGATAGTATAATACATACTTCAAGTATCGAAATGCACGCCATCGTGTTGGGGCTCAATATTTCGACATTAATTATGTCATCAACTGTAATTAATAACATACAATGTGGTCTTTGAAATTGTAAAAGGGCAGCGCTGAATTTCTGGTCGATTGTTTGAGTAGTGTAAAGTATAGCAATAATTAACTACTACAGTGCTACCGTACTGATTCTAAAGAAATGTTTAGAAATGCTCGGACACACAGGTACAATTCTATGTATTTTTTTTTGTTGACTTCTATACAAACATTTCGTTCATATTCAATATGAATAAAGGCATAGATTATATAGCAAGCAGGTATATTATAAACACTAATTTTCAATATTTTATTCACATGACATACAGGTTGTGTCTATTTCTTCCATGGTCTACCCAATTGAATATTGAATAGCTTTATATTTTCTCATAAAAAAAATGTTAATTGTAAAATTGTAAGTTAACTGTGTCTGAAGTATTAGTTATTTGTTTCTGAGCATTTTTAAACATCCTTCAGAATCAGTACTACTAGAAAATTGCTACAACACACACGTCATACTGTATAAGCCTTACTGTAGGCATAGGCCTATAGGCCTACTCAAATACAGTGCCAGATTCAATATTAGCCTTTACTCTTTTTTTAAATTTTTATACGTACATAGAATGTGTCTAATGTAGAACTACAATTTTTACACTGTAAACGACCAAGGCTTATTTGACGAAATTTTGGGCTAGTGACTCCATAGCATTCATCCATGCATAAAACTGGATGCACCACTGACTCTGTTTCGCAAAGGTGACACTTTATGCATATTCATGCATATCAGTTCTCCTAACTGACCTAAAATAGCACCCTCTATAATTTTTCTGCCGCAACTGTATGGGAAAAAGAAATATAGCACCCTGGCAGCGCCCCCCCCCCACTTTCGCCACCTCTGTGCAATCATTGAATGAGCTGTGCATTATATCCAATATGATCCGATCAGGTTAGTGAGTGACTCCGCCCATAATTTGCTCCAGGATCCAGGAGAGTAACTGCAGGAGTCCCGCCTTGGGTTAATTTAGATAATTTAAAAAATAAAAACTAAATAATTTGAAATTTGAAAATAATAATAATAAATTAATAAGTATGCCTTATTATACAGAAAATACAAAAGAAATATATACAAAGCAATACTGCAGAGAAGTTGCTGGTCTCTCTTTGTAAAA